TAATTTTATCATTTCGGATATGAAGTGCAGATTCCGGCAAACCAGATACGGTGATATGTTCAGTTGAGTTCAGGATATAAATACGACTTGTATCGGCAACTGGACAAAGATTCTTAATCGTTCCGCCCAGCAAAGCACTTGGGGACCAAGGGACTTAAAATTTAAAGTAATAAAAATGGACATTACCTTGAATTGTCGAATAATGAAACCGACGATCGAAAACGACAGTAAGTGTTTGTCTTAGCTCTAAGCCAATGTAATTGCACGGTTCGTCCTAAAAATAAACGAATGCAAAAAAACAAACCCAACACATTTTTCTAATGTCCATCTTGAGAGACTTGTAATTGGACTTGTAAAGAGAGGTAGGATGGAGAAGACTTGCAAGGCCAGCCAAGGTTTTGCAGGGAAGTAATTTCGACCAAGGCGTAAGGTTCTCTGTACACACTGTTTCACCTGGAAGTTGAGCGTATCTAAGATACAAATCAGGTCTTGATGAAATATTGTTGCTCGTTAGACCACTGGGGCGGTAAGACCATCTGGGACGAATATATTGGTTCGATGATGACAATTGATTTAGGGAAGCACATAATAGTCCAGATAAAGCGTGCATCATCTCCGACCACAAAAGATCAACACTAAGGTATATGGTATGCACAAAAGACTTACTTTTTGTTGGGTTCGAACCAAGCCCAAACCTCAGCGCCACCGGGAGCAGCACTATCAAAAATAGGTCCCCACAATTTGTCGTCCCAGAATCCCCTTATAAGTGAGAGGTGAAGCTCATCAACCAGATATTTCGATTGAATATCAATTATCGGTCTGGGAAATAGATCAAAGTGATTTTCTAAGCGAACAATAAAATAAGTAACCTACGGAATCGCCCCAGATACGGCTGCTTAACAACGAAGTTAAAATGAAATGAACTAAATCCATTAGATAGATCTTTTATCAGTAATTCTTCGTCAAAACTGTCAGATTTGCAATAATCGATGAGAGAAGATAGTAACAAAAACACATGCAAATAAATCACCTTCATGTCACGCGGTGAAAAAGCGAGAAACAAAAAGTGCCTAGCTGAATTGCACAAGTCAAATTATCATTTTTGTATTACCTTTTACATCATTCCAATTAATGTTTTTTATAAATTAAGTTTCAAAAAGATGATTATATTACAAATATATTAATAAATACTTAAATGCAATTCCGCGTAACTTATTCGTATGATTACCAAAGCATAAGGCAAAAATATTTTTTATTGATGTTTTTACTCACAATCAGTTGAAGCCTGTATATCTCGTCTCTCTTTGACCTAGGATCATGAGTATGGCGTAGTAGCCATCAGTGCTTTCAACGGTGAATTGTATCTTAATATATACGGTCCGATTCATTCTGGCTAAAGGGGATGGAATAATGAAAATCGTATAGTAAGCTTATTCCATGGACCTTCTCATTACACCTTTATAGGATCCTATATGTCCAGCTCATGTTAGCTATCGTAATGGAACCAGCCAATAAAGCATGCCCAACTTAACGACGAATATAGCGGTTTTCTATCCTTTGCTGGCACATCTCACAGGCCAGCTCAGCCATATTTATTTATCCGCAGACATTTCAACTGGCTGAATTATCTAAAGTCCCCAGATTAAATTGTCTTCCGTGTGTGCATTTCCATTTTCCAACTTTCCCATTTTCAGGAAAATAAAAATGTCTCTCACATTACAAAAGAAAGTTCAGCATTGATTAATCTAAGCCGTGGGGTGGTGGGCCAATTATTTATTCGAAAAATATGTTGTCAGCGTCACAGAAAAATTTTTCTTATGCATCCAGTGAGGCTAATTTACGAATATCTTCCCCTCCACTCTTGAAACGAAATGAAGGTTTCGCCAACATGAACCAGGCTGAGACTGTATAAGTTCATAAGATTGCCTTTTGCAATATAGAAGCTTACTAGTATTAGAAAAGTGCAAGTAGTTGAAGTAGTATTAATATTGATGCTACTTGTATGCATATGAACATGTTCTGGAAAATGGCGATAACTGAGCCACCGAGATGATACGATGCGTACTTTGGCCATGCAAAAGTGGGATCACGATCTAATACATAATTGAATTTAAGCAATTCTGGTCAACGTTTCTTTTCCAATGCGAGGGGAACAAAACCCTGATATTGTAGACGCTGTCCTTAGAGGACCTTGTCTGTGCTAAGACGCCGGACGAGTTCGGTATTCCTTGTAAGGAGGTCAAAACAAATTCGCCACTGATGCAGGGCTATATATGGGAAGTGAGAGAAGAACTTACGGAGGAGTAGCAGAAGTAAGAGGTAGCAGCTTAACAGACGCCCTTATCCCAAGAAAGATGTTGCCGCAGGGAGATGCAGTACGAATACTAACCGACGAGGCCAAGCGAAAATTCAAGTTCACGTATTTTGTTTCGGGAAAATTCTTTACAGTAAATACAAACTCAAGCAAAAACAGA